GTTACCATACTACTCTGAAACGGCTTGACCGATTTTTATGAAATTTTATATGCATATTCAGTAGGTCTGAGAATCGGCTACTATCTATTTTTCATAACCCTAAGTCTTAAGGGTAACTTACCCCAAAATATATTTTAATTTTTTCGACATAATACTTTATTTTCATTTTATTATTATTTAGGATTGAAAAATACATAGAACCCTAAATTTTCACCCTTCTATAACCAACCCCTATATTTTTATAGCGTTATTTAACCCGCGCGAAGTCGGGGCAAGTAGCTAGTAATCTATATTCAAGTGACCCATGTACAAATTAAAAAATAATTTACTCATGTAGGACATTTTAGCCGCTTATGATTTTTAGTGTAGATGCTTTATTGTATCGATTGTAAAAAGAATCATCGAAAATGTTGTGACAAGGCACAAGTGTTTCATATATATACGCAAATCTACGTTTGAAAACTTGAACATACAATTGAATTGCGAGTTTTTTTTAAATAGGATCGATGGTTATCAAACACAATAGCCACCATACGAGTGGATGTTATAAAAAAAATGAAAGTCAGTTCACTGCGTTCTTGTTTTTTTTTTGGTTGATAATGTAATGGTGCACCCGCCTGCGCTAACGGTTTACGCTGGCGGGGCACCAGTGGAGGATGATAAGAACATGAGGTCAGGTCAGATAGCACATCGTGACAAATTCACCAGGAATTTATCACGATGGTTTCCAGGGGGAACCTGACGACCCCATTACTAACAGTCCCCTTCCCCCCCCCCCCCCCCCCCCCCTGCGTTGTTGTAATACAACTCAGTGAGCGCGGGTTTACTTGCGGAAGCCGTATTGCAGTTTTTAAGCAGAAAATGTGTCATTTGGTCAATAGGACGGTGTTTTTTATAGGTGTTAAAAATGTTGCTTGCGTGTTGCTATGTTTGGAATATCGTAGATCCTAAATTAGTTGAGTTTTTTATATTCGACTGGGTGTTTATTTTTGTATTGGCGGTCTCGGTGGTCTAGCGGTTTAGTACACCGGGTTACTTTCAAAGGTCGCGGGTTCGATTCCTCGCACGGTGTTTTGTATTCAGGAGTATGATTGTTTGTATCGGTCTGGGTGTTTTCTATGTATTACGTTTGCAATAAATATATCTATGTGTTTATATCAGTTGTCTAGTTCTCATAACACAAGCTATATTTAACTGAGGACTAGATGGCGCTGTATCAATTGTCTAGGGATATTATTATTTGTTTTATTTATTAAAACTTTAATGCACAGATAGAATAGAATAGAATTTTTTTAACTCGTTTTTACAGTAATAACATAAGAAATACAAGAATAATTTACATATTAAAAAACGGAGTCAGTGTGGACCACAACTCAGCATAATGCTGGAAGTAGTTTCCAGCGCTGATTTTCAGTGGGGCCCTCAGTACGGACGCGCAAATATTACAATTAAAAAATACGTATACATTAACTTAATAAATCAGATATTATACAAATAAAATAAAAATAATAATATCAAGAGAAAAGTATATAAATAATAAAAAGTATAATTATATATTATTTAACATTATATACGTAATGGATAAAAGAAAGATACACAAATAAAGGTACACATGACGGTCTTAACACCTTGAGGCATTTCTCCCAGTCAACCATACGGCCAATAGATTCATGTGGGCGGTACATAAACAAAATATGAAATTCAAATGTAAAAAAAAATAACTTTAATGTGATTAAATATAAATACACATGCGACCGTACTTATAAATTATAACATCATCATATTAATCAATTTTATTTTATTATTATGTTTATTGTACTATACAAAATGTGATGAGACATCCAAATGAGCGATAGATCAAAAATGTGATGACTATTCAAAAGTGTTTAAATTAAGTTTATTTGAATAAAGGATTTTCACTATTAGTATAATAATAATAATAATCTCAGGACAATTCACACAGCGCCATCTAGACCCAAGTTAAGCTAGCTAAAGCTTGTGTTATAGGTACTAGATTACTGATACAAATACATAGATATTTTTTTTTTCGTAAATACATACATATTATACATAGAAAACACCCAGACCGATACAAACAATCATATACATGAATACAAATGTTTGTGCCGTGCGAGGAATCGAACCCGCGACCATCGGACGTTAAGCGGTGTGCTAGACCGCTACACCACCGAGGTCGTCAAATTATTAGTAGACTATACTATTCTAAATTATTGACCAATAATACATCATCAACGAGATGATGATGACGAATAAATCATCGAACGAATAAGTGTAACAAAAAATATTAAGATTTTCGCACAAGTGACAAGAAGGTATGAAATTTGACAAACAAAACGCAAAATAGACATACGGACAGACAAAAGCGGTCCCTACCTGGAGAGTCATTGTACTCTGACTGCACAATACACGCGCCGTAGTTTTTGCTCGCAAATCGCACTTTTGTAGAAGTTTGGCGTTTTCGAATTTATTACTTACGGCGCTTTGCTCCCTGCACCGTACTGTGAACGATGGATGTTTCACGCTCGACAGTTCTGTAGTTAGATATGAACTTATTTATAAAACATTACTAATATTACGACGACCTCGGTGGTGTAGCGGTCTAGCACACCGCTTTACGAGCGATGGTCGCGGGTTCGATTCCTCGCACGGCACTTTTGTATCCATGAGTATGTTTTGTATTGTTTGTGTCGATCTTGGTGTTTCCTATGTATATTATGTATGTATTTACAAAAAAAATATCTATGTATTTGTATCAGTTCTCTAGTACCTATAACACAAGCTTTAGCTAGCTTAACTTGGGTCTAGATGGCGCTGTGTGAATTGTCCTGAGATTATTATTATATCTGAGGATTTTTTTATTCGGTTGTTGGGCTATTATTATTATTATTATTAATATTATAAACACGAAAGTTTGGATGTATGAATGTTACCCTTTCGTAGTGAATGGATTTCAATGAAACTTTACAATATCATTACATAGTATAAAACAAAGTCGTTGTCGCTGTCTGTCCGTCCCTATGTATGCTTAAATCTTTAAAACAACGCAACGGATTTTAAAGTATGTTTTTAGTAGATAGAGTGATTTGAAAGGAAGGTTTATATATATAATACATGTACACCCGTGCGAAGTCGGGGCAAGTAGCTAGTAATTAATATATGAATATATTTAAAACTAAATGATACACTAAGGTAGTATAATTGGGATGGATATAGCCTATATTATTTTACAAAAATACAGACAAACTTACTGGTAACTGATAGTATTGAATATGCTAAAAATTGCAACGTCACAATGTATATAGAAATTGTAACATGTCTATCTGTTCATTCCCATAGCGTACCTGCTCTAACCATTGTATTATATTACACACAGACGTTTTATAAAAGAAAGTAGAAAGGGTTGCAGACCCTTTCCCATGGGCGCAAGGTGTTCAGGTTCAATCACCGTGCGGACTTTTTCAAATCTCAAACTTGTTGTTTTTTTTATTATTATTATCTGTAGCTTTGTATGGGTGGTCTGTGCCGACGATTGTCGAAAGTTATATAAATGTATAGTCTCATAATAAGTAATGAAATTATGAATAAAATACTATTTTTAACCATGAATATTGTTACTTACAAAGTAACAGTGTTTATGGTCAAAAATAGTATTTTATTCATAAAATTATTACTTATAAAGTAACAGTGTTTTGGTCAAAAATAGTATTTTATTCATGAATTCATTACTTACAAAGTAACAGTGTTCATGGTCAAAAATAGTATTTTATTCATAAAATCATTACTTACAAATATAAAGTGTTTATGGTCAAAAATAGTATTTTATTCATAAATTCATTACTTAAAAAGTAACAGTGTTTATGGTCAAAAATAGTATTTTATTCATAAATTCATTACTTAAAAAGTAACAGTGTTTATGGTCAAAAATAGTATTTTATTCATAAATTCATTACTTAAAAAGTAACAGTGTTTATGGTCAAAAATAGTATTTTATTCATAAATTCATTACTTACAAAGTAACAGTGTTTATGGTCAAAAATAGTATTTTATTCATAAATTCATTACTTACAAAGTAACAGTGTTTATGGTCAAAAATAGTATTTTATTCATAAATTCATTACTTACAAAGTAACAGTGTTCATGGTCAAAAATAGTATTTTATTCATAAATTCTTTACTTAAAAATATACAGTGTTTATGGTCAAAAATAGTATTTTATTCATAAATTCATTACTTACAAAATAACAGTGTTAATGGTAAAAAACTTGTCTATTCAAAAGTGCTTATATTAAGGGCTTATATTTGAATAAAGATTATTTCTATTTCAGTAGCAATACTTTTACTTATTTCCACCACTCCACAATTCCTCTCAGTCACTCTAAGGTTGACTGGATGAACTCCCTCTTTTGGGATAAGTCGGCTATTGTACGCATTTATAATTTAATAATTAATGCGTACAATGTTAATCGATTGTGTTCTTTTATTTATAACCAGCTACTCGCCCCAGCTTCACACGGGTGTACGTGTATTATACATATAAACCTTCCTCTTGAATCACTCTATCTATTGAATAAACCGCTTCAAAATCAATTGCGTAGTTTTAAAGATTTAAGCATACATGTGGACGGACAGACAGCGACAGCGACTCTATTTTATACTATGTAATGATTTCTATTGTACAATAAAGTATTACAAACAAACAAACTTTTATACTTTTGTTTGTTTGTATCGGTCTAGGTGTTCTATTATAATATGTATGTATTTATGAAGAAAAATCTATGTATTTATATCATTTATCTAGTACCCATAACATAAGGTTTAGCTAGCTTATCTTGGGTCTAGATGACGCTGTGTGCATTGTCCTGAGATTATTTTTATATTTATTTTCTTAGTATATATTTGCATTGGTATCGGCCAGTATAGGATGCTAGGACTTTTGGGGCTAGTGAATCGGTAAATTTTTTCTTATATAACTTGGGATAGGTGACGGTAAATGGTTGTAATCGGAGCAATCGAATGTAACGTAACAAAACCAACGGTCTCCACAGATATAGTGACAAAACTAAGTGATGTGTCCATTCAAATGTAAAAAGTTCAAATTCAAATGATGGCGCTCCGGCATGACGTCACAAGTATGGAGTCGAGTTTCCTTCCGGCGGATCCGCCGCCGCTCACCGAATACCAGCCGAAGAGCGACCTCGCCTCCGAATACTTCAACACGTTCAATCAGATATGCGAAAACTACCGGCCAGATACCGAGCTCAACCTTCGGCACACCTCGGACTCGCTTCGGCTCTCCTCGGAGATTTTGGACGGCGTGCGAACGGACTATACAGATTTTGATAAGTACAAGCAGGACAGAGGATCGGAATATGTGAACACGGACTTTAACCCGAAGGCGTATTTGAAAGACGATCGGCCAACGGAATTTGTTAATACGGATTTTAGTGAAAAAGTGTTTTTAAGTGGCAAGGACGAGAATATATTTCAGTTTGGACAGCCCGATGCCTCGGCGTTGTTGAGGCATCGCGCGAGGAGAAGATACAATGAGGAGCACGGGCTGCAGCCGCCGGCTGCCACCAGCCAGGAGAGTGGGGTGAGTGGTGTACAGTAACTGTACGGTTTTTTATAAATGCATTAGGCAATCGAGCCGTCGGTCCCGCTGGTGAGAAATCCAAGAAATTTCGGCTTGTCACGTAATACAGTTTGATATTTAGGCTGGATTTCACCAATCGCATTATAAACACGTTTATGGAAACTGAGTTCAGCGTGAACTCGAGAAAAAGACGTTGATCTCGTTTTACTTTAAATGGAATTCACCAACATTATACAGATCGCGTTTACCAAAATGAAGTTTAGATTTTCATTCGTTCACAGTGTTACATGCTCATGAAATAATATTTGATGCAATGGGTAATTTAAATGAAATAATTCTAAGAAATATTTGTAATTCAATCATGTGATAATTAGGATATGTTTTTTTATTTTTAATTTAATAAGTACCGTTAACTACGAAATATAAAACAACATCCTTTACCTATAAACTAGTAAAACATTATTTTATTGAGAATTTTTTATACTACTGGCAATTTTCTTTTTATTCCCGATATTGTATTGTCAAAAATTTGATAGGTGACTGTTTGACAACTGACAGCTGCTTTAAATACGATTAAAGAGTTAACTGTAGGAAATCAGACGTTCAGAATTTATAAACGTGTTTAGCGAAATTTGTAGTGGTGAAAAGCAAAATGAAACTTTGAACACGTTTAAGCGTTTTAATGGCGTTCAGTTCGAACTAAACGCGATCAGTTTCTTTGGTGAAATCCGACCTTAGAAATTACAATTTAATTACAATGTTAGTCTAATAAAAAAAATGTTTTTAAAAGACAGTTTAAATGTTTAATGCAGTTGTAATCATCGGTATATGAATCAAATTGAGAAGAACTGGCAAGAAACTCAATTGAATTACTTTTTTTTTTTAAAAGACAGTTTAAATGTTTATTGCAGTGGTAATCATCTGTATATAGATCCAATTGAGAAGAACTGGCAAGAAACTCAATTGAATTACTTTTTTTTTAAGAGACAGTTTAAATGTTTAATGCAGTTGTAATCATCGGTATATGAATCCAATTGAGAAGAACTGGCAAGAAACTCAATTGAATTACTTTTTTTTTTTAAAAGACAGTTTAAATGTTTATTGCAGTGGTAATCATCTGTATATAGATTCAATTGAGAAGAACTGGCAAGAAACTCAATTGAATTACTTTTTTTTTAAGAGACAGTTTAAATGTTTCATGCTGTGATAATAATCGGTATATGGATCCAATTGAGAAGAACTGGCCAGAAATTCAATAGATTTTTTTTTTTAATCTGATTAAATGTTTAATGTAATAAGACCATAGACCGCGTCTCGCCGCCCACCGTTTCGGGTATGACTGTATAGCAATTATATGAACACATAAATACTAGAGTTTCTAAATATAAACGTGGCACTCATTCCGAATAGTATTTTGCTATTTATGACTCCGGCCACTAGGCCGGTACGCAATTAATATCGTATTTTTCTTTCATACGTAACAAGTTGTATTAAAGTTGTACTAAAACAGAAACAAAAAAAAAGTATAAAACTACTCTTTCCTCCTTCTAGTGAAACCTTCAGTAACCAAGAACCTCATCTTTTGTGGAATGTATATGTTCGTGGTATGGGTAGGTACTAAACACCAACCAGGCAATATCCATCATTTGAAATAGCAATCTTACATTACTATCACAACCAAAGGAACACTGTATATCTTTCTTCTGAGTGAAGTAAGGAAGTTTTGATTTTTTTTTATTTTAATGTATATAACTCAAAGGTGACTGACTGATATAGTGATCTATCAATGCACAGCCCAAACCACTAGACGGATCGGGCTGAAATTTGGCATGCAGGTAGAGGTTATGATGTAGGCATCTGCTAAGAAAGGATTTTGATTAATTCTACCCTCAAGGGGATAAAATGGGGGATGAAAGTTTGTATGAAACTTTGTCAATATTAAACCGATCGGGCTGAGACTTTGCATGCATAAAGCTACTATGATGTAGGCATCCCCTAAGAAAGGATTTTGATAAATTCCACCCCTAAGGGGATAAAATAGGGGATGAAAGTTTGTATAAATCTTCTTAGATTTTGTAGGCCCTAATTTTTTACACACGCTAAACAAAAGTAAATTGCGAAAACTACACATAATTAATAATAATACTTACTACTATGCGAGCGAAGACGCGGGCAAAAGCTAGTTATGTCTATAAAACTGTATGTCCTACAGAGAATATAATTGTACATTTTACTTACTATTTATATATACATCCTCTTAGAATGTAGACACAGTTTGCATTGATTAATTTTTAAACACAAAAGTTAACACTGTATGTAAAATAATGTCACATAAATACGTACCGAACGCAATCATACAAGCAAACAAAATAATAATCAATGATATGTAAAAGTGTATATAACTATAGCGGTGTCTGCTCGTCCCTCTGTATGTTCGGTGGTGTAATGGGATATCTACAGTTCACTGCAAGCGTACCAACTGACGGGTACTAATGGAGTCTGTAACACTACACCCAACATCTAATATGCAGACCTGTTTATGTTGCATTGATTATTAAAATTATGATTACGTCGTACTTTTCACTGATTTCCTCTTATTAATAGAATAGAATAGAATAGAAAATCATTTATTCAAATAAACTTTATTTAAGCACTTTTGAATAGTCATAACAATTTGTTTTTTATCTACCACTCGTTCGGAAAGCTGTCTCATCACAAGAAGAACGAGCAAGAAACTTGCGTGTTGCTCTTTTAAATAATTTTATTTGTTTAACCAGTTGGTTGTATATTCAATATTTTTTCTATTTGAGTATTTAATTGAATTACTGCTAATTGGTGGTTTGTATTCACACACTTAAACTTAAAAATGTAAAGTAATAATAAAATTATTTAAAAGAGCAACATGCAAGTTTCTTGCTCGTTCTTCTTGTGATGAGACAGCTTTCCGAACGAGCGGTAGATTAAAAAAATGTAATGACTATTAAAAAGTGCTTCAATGTAAGTTTATTTGAATAAATGATTTTCTGTTCTATTCTTTTGTAAAGAAAGAAGATACACAAATCTCGGTGGTCTACAGGTTTAGCATACCGCTGTACTCGGTCGCAAGTTCGATTCCTCGCATGTAGCAAACATGAGTATGATTGTTTGTATCGGTCTGGGTGTTTTCTATTTTACTAGCTACTCGCCCCGGCTTCGCACGGGTGTACATATATTATATGTATAAACCGTTATCTTAAATCACTCAGACTAAAAAAAACGCTCTAAAATCCGTTGCGTAGTTTTAAAGGTTTAAGCATACATAGGGACGGACAGACAGCGACAGCGACTTTGTTTTATACTATCCAACTATCTGGCTTCGTCCGTGTGTACGTATATTATACATATATACCTTCCTCTTGAATCACTCTATGTACTAAAAAAACGTTTCAAAATCCGTTGCGTAGTTTTAAAGGTTTAAGCATACATAGGGACGGACAGACAGCGACAGCGACTTTGTTTTGTACTATGTAATGATGAGTGTATATATAAAGATATATACACATCATTACATAGTATATTATATCAGTTGTCTAGTACCCATAACAAGCTCTGCTTACGTGGGACTAGATGGCGCTGTGTTAATTGTCCAGGGTTAAAAAAATAAATTTAATACGCAATTGGAAAGTGAAGATGTGACAATGAAACCGCGTGTAACTTTCCACGCGCGCCGGTCATACAACAGTCATACAAGGGAACGTTTAATTAATGACGCGGACGCGCCGCGATGTATGAATTATACTTTTTAATCACCGCCAATGTACAGATGGAAAAAAGTACAAGATGACATCCTGGTGTGTGGTGCGAGTTGCAAGCGTGCAGCGGGAGAGTATGAGCAGAGATTACCGCTTGCAGCACAAGAAATGCAAAAAATTTACGGTCCAATCAAATCAAAATATCTTTATTCATGTATGTCTATTACACACCGTCAGTTTGGAATGATTTCGAAATGAGAAGAAATAATAAGCTCAGCTCGTATTCTTTTAAAAAAATGTTGTACATGTTTACAATAATACAGATTCATTTAAATTAAAATTTGGGTGAATAGAGTGACCACCAGTATATGCTATTGCAAAAAACAAAATCTAATCAATGTTCGCAACCTGAACAGACCAGTCCTCACAAGCAGCACCCATTCACGAGTATGATGCCAGCCATTATTGCACTCAACCATATTAGAGGGAGCACATCGACCCGGCCCACCACGCCGCCACAAGTTTGAACTTTATAATGACCACCAGCATAGACGGTTATAGTGCATCTATATGTTACATTGATAAGTCCATATTCATTCTAACACTTTTTGGCCTTTAGCCGCTCCATAAGTCCTTCCTTTAGTTTGGAGTGCCATCTGCACTCGCCCCCTATCATCCGATGGTGTAATGGTCAGCTACGGCCAACAGCTTTAGAGTAGACCGAAAAAAATTTACATTTTTGTAATTTTGTGTCATTACTCAGCCTAATGAATTCTTACAGAATTCATAATAGCAAAATACATACTAATATTATGACTTTTACATATTGTCTGTTAGTTACATATTCACGCTAAACGGCTGAATGGATTTTAATGAAATTTGATGTAAAGATAGGTTGCCGGGGACGGGGACGAGGTTGACTTTTAACTATAAAAAAATTAACAAGAAGTTTAAACGACTGTACTCGTTAAAACTTCTTATATATTCTTTTAAATAAGATATAAAAGTTATATGACGAATTCTGATACAGGTTTTTTTAAACTTAAAATAAAATGTAAACTTAGTTTCACTTCAACAATTGAGTTACTTCCCAGTTCTTCTCAATTGGATCTATATACCGAACTGGACGGTAGGGAAAAAAATTATAATGTAAAAACTTGACGTTTCTAAACGTTAAAATGTCCTACATGAATAAATGATTTTTTAATTTTGAATCTTTTTAATCACATTTCCGCTATCGCTAGTGACATGTACCGCTCGACAAATCGC